TGTGTTGAAGCGGTGGACCGTACGTTTAAGGATATCATGCACTGTCAAGAACCGTTTGGTGGGAAATGCATAGTTATGGGTGGTGATTTTAGACAGATCTTGCCAGTCATTCCTAAAGGCAGTAGGGCAACTATTGTTGATGCATGTATTACTTCTTCGTTGTTATGGAATCATTGCACTGTTTTCCGATTGACAAGAAACATGCGATTGAACTCATCCTCAATTAATCAAGGAACGTATTCGTTGAAGAAGTTCTCAAAATGGTTGCTTGATGTTGGAGATGGAAATTTAGGACTTCCCCATGATGGAGTAGCAGAGATAGAGATACCACATGAATTCTTGCTCACAAATTACACTAACCCACTTGAAGCAATTGTGTCGTCCACTTATTTTGATCTCCGTAATAATTTCTCCAGGAATGGTTACTTCACTGATAGGGCCATATTGGTCCCAACAATTGAGTATGTGAATGAAATAAATGAATATATGTGTTCTCTGTTGCTTGGTGAATCTGTTGAGTACTTAAGTTGTGACATAGTTTGTAGATCATCAGAAGATAGTGACTCCTTTGATAATTTGTACACTACTGGGTTCCTGAACAGAATAAATTGCTCAGGTCTTCCACCCCATAAGCTTTCTCTAAAAGTTGGAGCACCTGTTATGCTTTTGAGAAACATTGATCAAGCGTCTGGGCTATGCAATGGTACAAGACTCCGTATATCACAATTGGGAAAGACAGTGATAGAAGCTATCACCTTGAATGGATCTAAACCAAATGAGAAGGTCCTGTTGCATAGAATGGATATGAATCCTTCAGAAAGTAGATGGCCATTTCGCATGTAGAGAAGACAATTTCCCATTACCTTGTCATTTGCAATGACAATAAACAAGAGTCAGGGGCAATCACTTAATTATGTCGGTTTATTTCTAACAAAGACAATTTTTACTCATGGTCAATTGTATGTTGCATTGTCAAGAATTAGATCCATTGAAGGTTTGAAGATTTTTATCAATAAGAGTGGAAGTTGTACGAATACAAAGACAAGAAATGTTGTTTACAGAGAAATCTTTAGGAATGTGTCACAAGTGTAACGGCTGGGTAAGATTACTTTTTAATTTGTCTATTAAGAAAGTGTTGTCAATGTAGAATTTTTTACTTCATCATAATATTGTGTTTGATTTTAGATCCATTTATGCTAGAACTTGACAGTGTATTCTTGCTGTGCGTTGCATTTGCTAGTTTTTTTTTTTAAAAAAACTATTCATTGCTACAATTCATAATCTAAATTAATTTTGATGTTTCAACAAGCATAAATGTAAACCATTTGTAATTTATTATCGTATAAAAAGAATACAATAAAGTAATAAAATTTTTCAAATTTATCTTTATCAACAACCAAAAAAAAAATTTCTCTCTGTATTTATAAATTATTTTCACATCAATCTTCTCTTTTTCTCTTTTCAATGAAAAATAATTAATGGTAAAATTAAAAAAATATTACTATCTTTTGCTCTTAGTATAAGAGCTAGATGGTAAATTTGCAATATTAAAAAAATTAATTAAATTAGTTGTTTATAATAAATACGTATTGACCTCTCTAAAATATTCCTATTAATTATGTATATTAGACATTTGATAAAAATTTCTTAACATATGCACAGTGCAATTATCATAAGGATTATGGAATACTTGGGGTAAAATAGATAAATATGAGAGACAAAATATATGGAAGTCTTATATTTAAAATGAAATTAAATTTGTAACTAGATCTTATATTTAGAATTAAAGGTAGTATCAAGTATCTAAGTGATTTAGATTTATTAAAAAAAAAAATTTCCCGACAAGTGGCTTATAATAAGAAAGGTGTGTGCCTCTGTATGTATCACTTGCTCCACCTGTTGGAAACTGCAAGATCAACTCACGGGTCGAAATCTAGTTATGCAATTAAAAAATAATTACTACTTGTTAATATTAGGCTGGAAAAGCCATTATCCTCGTTTTCGATGGATTAATTTAATCTGCCAAAGAGTCTTTTTGTTGGCCTAATATAATTATCAATTTGTATAATATACCAACATAATACCACAAATAATTTCAAAGCTACTAATTATTTATTGTCAAGGTTGGCTCTATTTACACGAATATTGAATTCACACTAATTAACAACGTCAAGTCTAGTTAAGGACTAGTAATTCTTAATATAAAACATTAAGGTCTGAATTTATACTGGGTGGTATGTTTAAATTAATTGCCCCTTCATGTCTTAAATAGGATTATTTTAAAAAGAAATTGAATTCACATTTTTTATATTGCTTCGGACTCTAATCATAAGAACTAGTTGACTAATTTGAGAAAATTAAGGAAAGAAGTTAAGTTAGTTATTTGTAATAAATATGTGTTTTCTTTCCTAAAATATCTTTGCTAATTAAGTGTATTGGCTATAATTACTATTGTTAGAAGAATTATTTTGACAAAAAATGCAAAAATATGAAAGACAAAATAGATTGGGGGTATTATATTTATGACTAAAATAAAAGTCAAATAAAGTCTTATATTAAAGACCTGAGATAGTAATATATATATGTATATATGTCACATTTTCAGTGATTAAATTAACTATTGATGACAATCTCAATTCCCCCCCGGGGGGGTTAGCTCTAAATCAAGAACTTTTTGCTAGAATTGATGAAATTGTATTTTTAAGAGAAAATTTAATTTTAAAAAAAAATCCAAAGTTAGTAATGAATTGAAGTTGCTTTTTTGTTTTAATTTAAACTCCGAATCATTATCTTTGACAAAAAATTTAGGTGGGTTAAATATTGGAGGTTAACAATGACAAGGTAAAATATTTATTTTATTTTAAGCAAATTTTTATTGTTTAAATGATCATTTAATTTTTTTTATGAATATGAAAAGTAATTTTTATTATATCTAACTATTTCGAACAATTAAGTTACTAAAAATTATTCAAAATGAAACATTATTTTATTATTACCCAGAATTACAAGAAATATAAATTATCATTCATACTTTTTAAAATTTTTTACTCAACCTTTTTGTATTTTATTTCGCCACTACTCAATCTTTTTGATGTACTATTGATATTGATGTTTGAATTTACCGCTTTAAAATAATACTAATCTGACATCATAAATGTCAAGTGAAAAAATTATTTTTAAATAAAATTTAATTTTTAAAAAATGCTGATATTCTTTTTTCATCTATTTTGGGTTTTCAATTAAAATTCAAGTTATTCCCCGCTGGGCCTCTTTAAATAAATACTCCAATATGAGTTGCAATTTGGAAAATTCAGGTAAAAATTGAAAGCTTTAGGTGGAAAAATTTGCAACGGTGAGAAAATTTACACTCATGTTTGACACCATTGGATTAGTTGGTATTTCTTGCCGCCCTAAATTTGAAAATTATATACTTTACAAAAATTAAAAAAAAGTAGTAAAATTAATAATTTATATGAAATATGAGTTATTTTTCCTCCAATCAAATATTCTCGTGCGTAATTTTTATTATAAAATATCCTTTAATTATTTATATTGAAATTACTTTTATTAAGAAAAACCTTTTAAATATGCGCAATCAATCGAATTTGTTTAAAGAAAATCATAAAATTTTATTAAAATCACTTGGTATAGTTTATAAAAAAATAACTTAGTATGAAAAAATATTATTGCATTAAAAAGAAAAGAGTAGTATTTAAAAAATAAAAAAGGAATTTCACGAAAAAAAGTAAACCTATATGTTTGGTTCTCTTGTATAAAAAATTGTATTAGTTTCTTAAGTTTATAAAATGTATTTTCAGTTTCTTAATTTAAACACTGCTGATTATATTTACAGGAAATAATTATTTAACCAGTTTAAATGGTGAATTTATAATTAAATAGTGACAGAAACATACTTAAATTTGATTATTTCGATATAAAATTTTGTATTTTAAAATTAAAATAAACTCAATATATTTTAAAATTATTTTAACTGTTAAATGACTTTTTTTCCAACGTGTTTTTTGGCCAAGTGAAATGATTAAAATTTAAGTATGCTTTATTAATACTTAATTGCAAAGTCTACCATTTTAAATTTCTTAAGTCAACATTTTCTTTTATAAGATTAACAGTATTAAAATTAAAGGAGTAAAACTATACTTTATAAATTTAAGAAAATAAAAAAATTCAAATTTAGAGGACAAATATTTTTTTATTTTGGATCATGAAGAGGATCAAATATTACTTTAGGTAATAAAAAATAAAAAAAAGTTCACCAACTTTAACAAAAATAAAAAGAAGGGGAAATTTCGTATGAGAACCGCAGTACAGAATTAATTTTAGAAAGCTCTCAAAATTTTTTGAAACTTCACTGCAGGACTAAGATATTAATTCCACAAAAAAATGACGTTATTGCCCCTCATAATAAAAGTAGGAGAGTTCATTTGTAAGTGGGACTAGACAATTTACAACATATATATATATTTACAACTGGAATTAGTCCCTTTACTACTTGAAGAAGGTGTCCGTGAGTGAACAAGTATGAGAGAGTCTATTTGTAAGTGGGACTAGATAAATTGGAACAAATATATATTTATTTACAACTAAAATTAGTCTATTTACATGTTACCTTCTTCACCTGAAGGTGTCTGTGAGTGAACAAGTGTGAGAGAACTCATTTGCAAGTGAAATTAAACAATTTGTAACATACATACTTTTATTTACAGCTGGTATTAGTTCATTTACATGTCACTCTATAATAAATATTATTAGAAGTAATAGCATTATTTTTTTAATAGAATTAATATCAGTTTGTCTTTTTAGCCCTGTAGTGAAGTTTTATAAAGTTTTGAGAACTTCTTAAAATTTTCCTGAAAAGAATCTAAGAAATCTAAGATCTGGTACGGTCGCCCACAAAAGCGACGTGTATTATTTTTGGGTATTTCACAACTCACCGCTTCACCATCTGATTCATTGATTCATCCTCTATGCTACTAAGCTTAATGGCGCCTCCCCTGGACGGCTCAAGCGACTATCGTCAACTCTTCGTCGACGATGCAGACTTCTACAACCGCTTCCTCCTTGGCTCTCTCTTGCCTGATTGCATGTGGATCTCACTCCCTCGCTTCTTCCAGACATGGCTTCGCAACTACATTGGGGGAGTCCTCGTTTACCTCCTCTCTGGCTTCTTCTGGTGCTTCTACATCTATTACTTGAAGCGCAATGTTTATGTTCCTACAGGTATTTCATTTTTTTCGGGTTTATTCCAGCTTTCTCTTCTCGTCAATGTCTGCCTTGACATTCCTCATCATCATCTTCTTCTTCTATTTCTGTTGTTTTGCGGCGAAGGTGCCATAGTTGTGATGAGTTTGTTTGTTAGTTCTTAATCTGAATCCTTCTGTCATTATACGGCGTTATGAGCTTTTTCTTTGTCGTTTCTTTTTATTTAGTTCTGCCCTTCTAGGCTGAAAATCTCAAGTTCAATGAGGTGTTGGTTTCTTGTGGGCTAATTTTATGTGGTTTTTCTTGTTCTGCTCTTATCTGGCTCTGATGCTATCTACCATAAATTTCACCTTTTCTTTTACTTAGAGTAGTTTATTTCGTTTTCGTATCTGTCTATTTCCTTTTGAAATTTATGGCACTAATATCTTTTGGTCAATATCCTGGATCTGTATTCTTGCCTTTTCTTTCTGCTCTTGGTTGCTCGTTAAAGTATGATTGAGTTATGGTTCTCTGTTTGTATGCCATTAGATTACAACAATAGTTTGGTTTTGTGAGGTTTCTCTTCTCTGGTCGGTGTAAATGGTCTCTTCTATGGAATTTGGCAATATAAGGCTACACAGGGACTAGTTCCTGGATTTTCCCTTTTAAATATGCGCGTAAGGTTTTAATTAGTGGGATTACTGACATCTTTCAACCGCCATTAAGTTATCATTGATATGCCTATCCTATTTATACGTGGCAAGTTTTTCAATAACTGGTGATAAAGATACAGGGATTTATTTTTGTTTTAATCATTTTCTGTACAGCTTCAAGCAATTGTTAATGTAAATCTGTTCCTGCTCAGGGCAAAATCATTGAACCAATCATCATGCATGTCCCTGTGAAGGAGATATACTATTTGTTGAGCTTCTGCTATGATAGATTATCAAGTTTCACAAGAGGATTTCATTAGACTACTCTGTAACAGTAATTTGGCCATAAAAGGGCAGTTTCAAGTTGGTTGGCACTTTGCCCATTGTGGGTAGGTGGCTAGTTGAAACATAGATTATCCTCTACTATCACTTGGACACATTCACATAGTTACGTTTCATCATTCTTAATCAGATAAGCGACATCAATATGTCTGTATTTCTGATGTAAAACAAATTAACTTTTCTGCATGCTTACCAGTGGAAGGATGAAGAAATCTCTTGCAACAATGATGGAAAATAACTTAAAAATACTTTTCACCTGTACTCGGTTGGCTCTAGATTCCTTTAAGTTTGCATTGTCTGCTTATATCAAATCTTAACCAACCATGCCATTTCTAGGCACTGTTTTTGTGTTTGTTTGAGTGTATGGTTGTCTATTTATTTTAAAATTTCAGGATCTAATATATGGAAAGCCATTTTATTGCAGATGCCATTCCCTCTCGTAAATCCATGCTCTTGCAAATATCTGTTGCGATGAAAGCAATGCCTTGGTACTGTGTGCTTCCTACTATTTCTGAGTACTTGGCAGAAATTGGCTGGACAAAGTGTTTTCCAAGATTAAATAATATCAGCTGGCCTGCCTTCCTTGCATATTTAGCCATTTACCAAATTTTCGTGGAGTTTGGCATTTATTGGGTGCATAGAGAGTTGCATGACATAAAACCGCTTTATAAGTATCTCCATGCTACTCATCACATCTACAACAAGCAGAACACTCTTTCCCCATTTGCTGGTAAGAACATGATGTTTTCAACTTATTACTTCACGTTTTGGGCAGGTAGTGGGAAGATATGGAAGTTCCTTCTATGTTGTTGCTAGACTCCGGTTTTTGTTTTCTAGTTCAACTTCAAATTAGCTGGAATATGGTGAAGCAAATTATTGTCTTGTTACACACACATATCCATTTGAAAATTTTGGGTGTACTCTTTCTCTTAAACGTTCTTTAGCTCAGAATCTTCTTCCTTCTCTTCTAAACGTTAACTCACCCACACAAGTATATTTTGAGCCGCACACAACCCAAACATGTGTCAGCTAAATTTTCACTAACATTATTCAGTTTAGTCTGCTAGGTCCATATGATTTCACAAGAGGGAGGGCTGACTGATTATTTTGTTCCCTGAATTTCAGGTTTGGCTTTTCACCCTCTTGATGGGATCCTTCAGGCATTGCCACATAGCCTTGCTTTGTTCATCATTCCAGTTCATTTAACTACACACTTAGCGGCTATATTCATTGAGGCCATTTGGACTGCGAATATACATGACTGCATTCATGCCAACTTGTGGCCTGTTATGGGTGCTGGATACCACACCATTCATCATACTACGTATCGTCATAACTACGGCCATTTCACCATTTGGATGGATTGGATGTTTGGAACTCTACGAGACCCCATGGATGATGGAGGTAAGGTGATGTGATGATTTTGACTGTCATCAATCGCCTAACTGCTGCATTAGTCTATAGTGGGAGAAATCCTTAGGTAGATTCAGCTCACAATAAGTTTGGTACAAATTAATCCTGAATGAACATAACAAGCATTTCAATGTTTTCTAATGCTTGAATGTTCACCAATCATTTCTTTGGTCTGTCAATATTTTTTAGAATGGGTCGACGTAGAAATTTCTCCTTCTTAGGTATTTCTGTTGTATTCTTGGAATCTTGTTCTTCTCTTTTGAAGCATAAGGATGTTCTTTTTGTTCACTATATTTCTGCTTTTTGAAGCATCCATTACAGGGTGACCATAGGGATTAGAAAGGCAAAATCAAGTGTGTGTTTGGATTCACGGTCTCAGATTTATTTGATACTGTGTAAATGAATATCACTGGAGTTTCATTTTCAGGTTTTCCCTCAGTATCTGAGGCAACCCCCTTAAGTACACTAAAGCTTAGAAAGAAATAGAGAATGGTAGGTCCTTCTTCTATTATCGCAAATGGGGCGTACTATTTACTTTCCATGTCTCTCTACATTTAGTTGAGGTACACTTTCAAATGGGGGTTTAAGTGGTTTATGCCGAAGACCGTGAAATAATTAATGCTCGTGCAAGAAAGAAAAGAGAATATTCTGTCATCCCCATGGTTGCACGTGATAGGACCACAGGTAATGAACATCACTTATTTCAAACCTCGACTTCGTAAGTTCTTATTCCCCCCCCTCAAAACAAAAACAAAACAAAAGCATGTGGCCAACCCCTGCACGAGCTTGACGAATGAGCTGCAAGTTGCTTGATAATTGCTTGCTGGACTGACTTATGTGGAATATTTTGGGCGTGGCTTTTGTCTTCTCCCTCCGTGTGACAACCCCTTTCCTTCCCTTGTCTGTTTCTAAAGTTTAAATTATTTTTTTAACAAATATATTATATTTTTTAATATTAAAGACAAAAGTGTCGTTCTAATAAACTTTTATTTTTAGGTGAATATCGTTCTAATAAACTTTTATTTCAAATAAATATTAGAAGAGAAGATTTTTTTTTTTGGTACAAGAAAAGTAGATCTTATGAGAAAACTTACCCCATGTTTGTATGGAGAGAAAATGGGAGAGGAAAGAAAATGAAGAAGGAAAATAGGAGAAGAAATGAGCTTTTTTCTGTTTGGATGAGGGGAGAAAAGTGAAAGGAAAGAAAAATAGGAGAGAAATGGGATGTGGGATCTATTTTATTTTCTCCCCAACTTTTCTTTCCATATATGGAGAGAAAATGAGAAGAAAACTCATATTTCCTGTATGCCCTCTTCAAATATAATCAGTAATATCACATTCCGCCTTTAATGCAAGTTTTTTTTATTTAAAATTTTACTTATGACTACTTCATAATTTAACAAAATTATCTCATTATATTGCGGCCAAAATCAAAAGCTACAAATGAACTCTATTCTTTTACATTCAGTGGACAATGCAGGAAATTCGCATAAATTAATATATATATAATTTCTTCATCTCTTTCAACCTTTATATTAAATTTTTACTATTTATCAATAATCTTAAATAATACGTAATTTATTTATATCATTTTATTATGTTTGATTTTAAAAAAAAATCCACTTTTTTTTTAATTTTCACCTTTAAAAAGAATATTTTTTACTAAATTATTTGGTTTTTACAATATAATCACATGGTAATAAATTTTTGTCAAATAATTTGATTTTAAATTATTTAATGATATTAACACTAATATGATTTTTTATTATAATATTTAATTTAATTTATAACATGATATATTTTGATATAAGAATAAAGATATTTTAGTCATTCATATATTTGTTTATTTTTTTCTTTTATTTTCTCTCGTCTATCCCAAATATAAAGGAAAATAATATTTTCTTTTCAGTTTTCTTTTCTTTCTATTTTTTCTCCTTCTATTTCTTTCCTCCAATTTTTTTTTCTATCCAAACAGAGCATTGAAGGCACTATTTCTAAGAAAATTGAGTCTTCGATATAATGACCCAAGCAATTGAAGTTTATTTACTTTTCCCCCCCCCCCCCAAAAAAACTCTTTCTCTCCGTACTCATTCAATGCCTCATTCAGTAAATCCAGGCTATGAAAGCGAGATTGGAATTAGAACCACATACTTGGTGTGTTGGTAGCTAAGAATTCGATTCCTCGCGGAATCCACTTCCATCCACATATATCGATGGAATGGTTTCACGCTCCTACCCATCGAACAATGGAATTGGGTTTCACGCTCCTACCCATGGAACTAGTCCGGTCCCATTCATGTTGCCCTTTAACAGACGTAATAATGGTAGTAAGCAAGGATGATAGAGGATGGCATGAGGACGATAGCAAAGGCAGCAATAGACAGCGCTTTGCTCTTTGATCTAGTTTTCTGTGATGGTAACAAGGTCGTCTCCTTTTTCGATTTGCATTTGATTTCCGAACGTCAACATTTTCTTCTCTCTTTTCAATGTGTTTTTCTTCTAAGGGAAAGGTGAATGGCGGGTGGCAGACACCGTATTCTCCCTCTTCGATCTATGAGCTTTTCATTATCTTCTCCTTTTCCCTCTTCGATCTTCGATTTCTTCTACCTGTGTCCCCTCCATTTCTGCTACCTGTGTTTATGATGGGTGACTCTGTATCTTGATATTTCATTTGCTGATGTTATTCTATGGTGGCCGTCAATAGTTTCTATGGAGGGTGATGGCTGATGGGGTGGTTGGGGCTGTTTTGGATTGAGACCAGGGTTATTTTGGAAATGGCATATTGTAATTTCATATTTAAAATTAACATAGCAATTAAAAATTATATTACCTCTAGTCTTTTAAGACCTTATTTGATTTTTATTTTAGTTCTAAATATAAAATCTCAATTCACTTTGTTTCTCATATTTGTATATTTTTTTCCTAGGATATTCCTTCTTTTAAGACAGGCTCAGGCCTGTTTAAAGGCCTGTTTAAGTTAATAGGCCAGGTTTAGGCTCTCTAAAAGGCCTGTTAAGCCTGTTAGACCGGCCTGAGCCTGTTAGAAATTTATAATTATAATATATAAAAAAATTAGTTAATGGTATTGTTAATGTGCACTTTTAATTTATTTTTTTAATTTTAATATATAGTTAATAGCTTAGTTCTTCCTTAGATTTTGAAGTTTAGTTGACAAGTAAAGATAAAAATATAATTTAAAATAAAGATATCAATAAATAATATGATCTTTAAATCTTAAAAATATAAATAAAATACGAAAGAAAGTTTGTTCCAAGAATGATAGATTAATTAACTTATGTATTATATTAATTAAATTATGATACTCTCTTTATTCATTGTAAAATTAATAGTTTTTTTTTATGTATTTGACTTAATTTTTTTTTGTACTTAAACATAATTTTGTCCCAAATTTTAACATACAATTAGAATTAGTTTTCAATAATATCCTTATAAATTGTAATTAAGATTTAAGACAATACCTATGATACTAAATTTAAATAAAAAACAAAACTAAAAAAATTAATTATTATGTACACTTTTTTTTATTTTAGATTTTTCTAAAAAAATTATTGTAATTTGAATTTTTTAAAAAACAGACTTTTTAACAGGATTTAAGTCAAGTCAGGCCTTTATACAGGTCAGGTTTAGACTGAAAAATAAACCTGTAACATACTAAAGCTAAGTTCAGGCCTATAGGTACAAACCAGGCTTTACCTGTTTTCACCCGTATGATTTCGCCCCTCCTACCTTGATAGAATAAGCTTCACGAAAGAGAGAGAGAGGCGATCCAACCCGAAATTATCAACTGCAAAATGTGATAAGAAGTTAAGAACTGGAAGTATTAGCCATAGTCCCATCTTCGTCTTCAGTTGTGCGCGCGAAGCAGGCAAAGAACGCTCACGTCTTATTCATGCCTGCCATGATCTTCCTTTCTCTTCTTCCTCAGCTATCTGGTAATCCTAACATCACATTTTACTCCCTCTCATTCCCATATTCTTCCACCACTACATCCTTTTCTCCCCAGACTCCTCCCAAAAACACCGTCAAAAATCACCCTTTCAGCCTTTTCCCAATTGCCTCGGCAGAGAACCCGAATTCCCCTGTCTCGCCTGAGTCTAAGTCCCATCCTGGTGCTCCCATCAAAGCCCCCACGCCTCCGTGGATGAAGGGTCCTCTGCTTCTTGAGCCTCATGAAGTTCTTGACCTTTCTAAGCCCAATGCCAAGAAGATATTCAATAAGAGCGAGGTGGAACAATCTGACAAGGCTTTGACTGCGAAGGAAAGTGGCGTCAGAGGGAAGAAGGCTATGAAGAAAATTGTCCAAGGCATTGAAAAACTTCAGAAGGGTCAGAATTACTCAACTGATACGCAGATGGGTCCTGCGCAAGCTGAAATTGAGGATACTTTAGAACAATTCGAAAAAGACGGCGATTTCGGAACTCGGGGTAGGATGCCATGGGAGAAAGATGAGATTATTCAGTTTCGGAGGACGAAAAAGGAGAAGGCCGTGACTACTGCGGATTTGACTCTTGATAAGGCATTGCTAAGGAGATTAAGAACTGATGCTGCTAGAATGAGAACTTGGGTGAAGGTTAAGAAAGCTGGTGTTACTCAAGCTGTTGTTGATGAAATTAAACGCATTTGGACTAGAAGTGAGCTTGCCATGGTTAAATTTGATATCCCATTGTGCCGGAATATGGATAGAGCTCGAGAAATTGTCGAGGTTAGGCTTGTGAATAATGTTCTCTATTTGCATTTTCGAAGCGATACGTTTCAAAAGTTGGTTTTTAAAATATGTTTTAGTTCTATGTGAACATGCTGCCATATTGAACTGAATTTAAGGATCAATATGTGCTGCGTACCTTGAATGAACTGCGGAGATGGGAATCGTCAGGGTAATTCCTCGTCTTTAAAATCTTACAATAGTAACCTGATTTATTTAACTGAGTTTTAGAGGTGAAAGACAAAATTGAACTAATCCGAGATGTCTAATGGCGAGAAACGATATCATGTCATATATTCCTTTGACTTGTAGATCATACATCTGTTTCTAGTTTACTTATCCGATGTGTTTGTCCTTATTTCCTATGTGAATAGTTTAAGACTGGAGGCTTGGTTGTCGGGAGTAAGAAAGATACGCTTGTCATTTACCGAGGCCAAAATCATCAGATCACTCCTAAAGTTTCAGGAAAGATTTATACAAGATACTATCACAGACAAAACGCAAACCATCACGGAATCAATTTGTTGCAGTCAGAAACCAAGGACAATCTTTACGAGTTTGACTTCCATCAAAGTGGTGCTCATGACATGTTGAGGTGGAAAGCTGGTAGTGGAGACTTTGCAGTAACTGATATCCATAACGAAGAAGATGTGAATTGCCAAACTGTGACTGGATCCTTGTATGAGAGGGAAACTGATAGGTTACTGGATGGCTTAGGACCCCGCTTCATTG